AGGAACACATTGCCATGATGACACACACATGCAGACTCAATAGGTGAAAACAATACCAGCGTTGCTTTAGCAGCTGGTAATAATGGCTCTGAATTAGCTAAGAGTGACAGTTTAAAAATTATGCAATTACCTAATTCATTATCTCTTATGCGCTAACCTATTATTTAATGTGCTTCAAAAGGACATGAATATCGCCTTCATCAGTGACCGGTCCACCCCAGGGTCTGACCATACGATGGCAACCATCGTGGTCGAGGGAAACAAATGAATGAGCAAGCATTCTGCGTTAAATGTGTTCATACTGTTTGAAATAATGACTGTCGGCAGTGTAAACATCTTTGTTACATCTTTTGTCAAATGTATGTGTGTGATCTGCAGGTTGGGGCCTTTGAGAGTTTGTTTCTGTAGTTTTATAAAAACTTTACAGATTTGACATATCTGGCACTGGTTTTAAATATGCAAAGGCCTCTAACTTCGTTGTGATGGCAGCATGTATTTGCTGTGTCCCCATTTCCCATGGTAATATGGCTAATATGTTTATTTATTATTTGTGGGACAATTTAAATTTGTGTTATTTATCTTTTTTTTTAAGATTTAAATGAAGCTCAGTTCAAGCTCTTTCAGGAAGACTGGGTGTATATACATTCACTCCACAGCTGCATATAATCAGCTCATCACAGGCGTTCTCTTTAACCTATTACATTTCACCTCATTCTCCAGCAGCCAATCAACGTGCTGCAGCCAAACTATAAAATGGTTCTCCTCTCTCCTGCAATATAAGCTGTGATTTCAGGTGTTCATGCACCTTATCATATATGGCATGTGTCAATAAATGTTAAACAAAATGAATTCTCTCCTGATTGAAACATCATGTGTTGAAATAAACAACTGCAGTTCAAAATAAAAAGTGAATTGCCTAATATTTTTGTTGTGATCAATTAATGTCTTTCTTTAAAGGCAAAAACATGAAAAAGCAACGAAAAAAATATTTGGAGCAAATTCATTTATAAATGGTTGTCAACTTAAAAACGTGTGTTCACAATGATGGTAATTAAGTACATACAACTTAAAATTCCTTTTAAATCATGCGGTAAAAAAAGTTGGAGCAACTCGATTTTTGGAGTAATCAACTTAAAAATGTATATCCCGAATAAGGGTAATTAAGTACATACAACTTAAAATTCCTTTTAAATCATGTGGTAAAACTAGTTGGAACAACTTAATCTTTTGAGTAATCAAATTCAAAACTTCTGTTTATGCTACCAATTATTAAGTAAGTGGTAATTAAAAACACCTCTGATTGTAGAGGAAAAGCCTTCTCCCAAAACTCAAATAACTTTGTTGCTTTAAGACAATTTCATTAGAAGTTGTCTTAACTCAATAAACATCGATGCAAACTGTTGCGTTGATTTTCTTTGTTGAGCCAAGGCATTTGTTTTTAGAGTGTAGATGTACTTTATTGTAACATCTGCTGTTGGTTGCCTTGTTGATTCTGTGGCTGAAACACATCCTCTTCATCTTCAACACAAGAGGCTTGAAAGGCGGAGGTGCAGGAATATGTAAATGCCCCCCCCCCTTTGTTCTTTTATTACCTCATGACCATGGGCAGCATTTGGCTGCCCTCTGATCTCCTTGCTGCCAGACGCTTCATTAAGGCCTCTACAGTCTGCTTGTTTGTGCATAAAGTCTCAAAAGAGCTCTTATATGAAACATTTTTTTCAAACAACACCCACTCCTTTTTACTGTGGGATGAGACATGTACAATCCCAGGTTTTGTACAAAAACCTGGGATTGTACTTACTGTCCTTACAAAAACCTGGGATTGTATTTACTGTCCTTACTGTTTGTAAGGTTACAATCCCAACCTTACAAACAGGTTGGGATTGTAAGGGTTTATCCAAGTTATCCCAGTCAGATTTAAAGGTATGATATGTGGAAGAATTACTTCCCCTTTTTTCTATAGTTTGTTGAATTGTATACTTACATTTTCTCAAATGTTTCTAATATCTGTTATTTCAATCAAGGTCATGTGGAAATGTTGTCTCCTGTAACGGTGTTACATCCCCTTTGAGCATAAGTCAGCATTGTCTTCCAGAAACTTTCTTAAATTGATTTTTTATTGAGTTTGAAGCCACATTTTGACCAGACAGTTCTTAGATCTTAGTTGTTTTCTAAGATATATTAACGAGAGAATGGATTCTAGTCGATTTGTGTCTGTGTCGTAAGTAAGGATGGGTATCGTTTGAAATGTATCGATTCCGATTCCGGTTCTGCTTATCGATTCCGGTTCTGCTTATCGATTCCGGTTCTTATCGATTCCCCGTTTCGATTTCAAAATTGTAAAAGAAAGAGGTCAAACGTTTAGATAACAAAAATATCTTTATTCTTTTAAGCTTTAACTGACATTTTTACAAATAAAAAATATACATGCAATACAAATGTATTGCACAATAGCTGTGCTTTATTTTTGACTGAGCTATGCCTGTGGCAAGCTATTAACAGGCATTACACTGTGCCTTGTCTTTTTCTTTTTTAGTGTAGTGGAGCCTCACTTTAGAGCGTTTACTGCGATGTTATGAAGTGACTGAGCTCGTGAACTGTCTACGGGAGGGCGGGGGGAGCCTCGCTGCGGGGCAACTGTGGACCTCTGTCGCCTGTCAGCGCAACTCACATGATGCCGTTATTAAGGGCGGTGCCGGCCGTCAGCGTACCGAGCCGGCCGTCAACGGCCGTCAACGGCCCACTGACAACCGGCCGTTCTGTGATTCTCCAGGTCCGCCCTGTATTCCACCGGGTCACCGCGGCGCAGACGGACCCGCTGGAATACAGCGTCTAACGCATTTCGGAACCGTTAAGCAGAACCGAAATTGTGTATTTTGTATGGGTAACCGGTACCCGGCATTTTCTTATCGGTTCTCATCTGGAACCGAGTTTCGGTTCCCAACCCTAGTCGTAGGTTATTAGAGAAACAAGCGTAGCCAGGGGAACACTGAATTTCAGCCGTAAACTGCTTCATTCAGCATTTATACTTACGTTTTATTTATACTTATTACTTACTTATTTATACTTACGGCGCAGACGGACCCGCTGGAATACAGCGTCTACCGCATTTAGGAACCGTTAAGCAGAACCGAAATTGTGTATTTTGTATGGGTACCCGGTACCCGGCATTTTCTTATCGGTTCTCATCTGGAACCGAGTTTCGGTTCCCAACCCTAGTCGTAGGTTATTAGAGAAACAAGCGTAGCCAGGGGAACACCGAATTTCAGCCGTAAACTGCTTCCTTCAGCATTTATACTTAAGTTTTAAACATTATATTTTCCCAAATGGATGAATTTGTCCAGATGTAGGTGGGTGTTTTAGCAGTTGTCTGCTTTCTTTTATATACATCATGAAAGAACACACAAAGTATTTTGGCTTTTAAAAGTCAGTCTGAGAGAGCAGAAGTATAGAAGTGTTAGTAGACGTGTCCAGCTTTGACCCCAGTGTGCCTGCAGTCCTCACATACACCACTTCAAGTTGTGAAGTTATTTGTGATGATAAACATCCTCTCTGCCTTCAGTCAACATGGGCGGAGCTGTCAGTGCCGGAGAGGACAATGACGACTTGATTGACAACCTGAAGGAGGCGTACTACATCCGCTCAGACCTGGTGGAGCGGGCCTTCAGAGCCATCGACCGCGCTGACTATTACCTGGACGAGTACCGGGACAACGCCTACAAGGTGAGCACACTTGCTCCAGAGAGAGTCACAGCTGGGTGATGACAGGGTTTGGAGAGAGCTGGGAGGAGGGACATGTTGTTGTTATTAGTCCCTGGATATTTGTTTTGTTTTTTGGGTGCATTTATAATGTTTTATAGTCTGAGAGATTTTTGGTTATAATGAATGCTTGGTGTTGTTAGGACTTGGCGTGGCGGCATGGGAACATCCACCTGTCGGCTCCCTGTATCTACTCTGAGGTGATGGAGGCTCTGGACCTCTGCCCCGGACTCTCCTTCATCAACCTGGGCAGTGGCACCGGGTACCTCAGCACCATGGTCGGCCTCATACTGGGTATGTGGGAAGAGATGTTCAGTAAACATGTGGCAGCATGAAGGTGTGTGAACTGGAAGAGATGAGTTTACATCCCACATGCTTTGACAATAAAAAAAGAAATCCTAAAAAGTTGCCAAAACAATTCTACAGATTGTTGAAAATTATTAAAGGGAAAAACTGTGAAATCTGGTTTAAAAAAAATCTATGGAGACATTGAGATGACATTTAATCAATGAGCGGGGTCTGAACTGAATACACATTTTTCTTTTACAAAAAGTCAAAAGAATATCGGAGACAATATTTCAGTGAAAAGCGAGCCTTCTTCATCAGAAGCTTAATGTTTCAGACTTTTAGAATTGCATTTTTTGGATCCTCAAAGTCCAGTTGATTTATCGGTAGGACTATTGCTGACGTTAAAATAGAGCTTCTGTTGCCGTCCACTTAGCGTTTAATGAGCTCAGGGCCACATTTAAAGACATTTCATAAAGTTGTATGGATGTTCCCACTGGTCTTCATTAACGCAGGTTAGGTCATCATCACACCACATACTCTGTTTGGAATCCATATTAATGTGTCTTATTTCAAACTGAGCTGTTCCACCTGTTGCAGGACCCTTCGGAGTGAACCATGGGATCGAGCTGCATACTGATGTGATTGAGTATGCATACCAGAGGCTCGACTGCTTCATCAAAACAAGCGACAGCTTCGACAGGTACGTGTCTAAAATCTGTCAGAGTTTACAGCATATTTTTTCAGTTTATTCTTTCCTTGTATAACTCTTGTTCATTCTCCTGTCTCTGTGCAGGTTTGAGTTCTGTGAGCCCTCCTTCGTGGTGGGGAACTGTCTGGAGGTTCCTCCGGAGAGCCGTCAGTACGACCGGGTGTACTGTGGGGCGGGGGTGCAGAAGGAGCATGAGGACTACATGAAGAACCTGCTGAAGGTGGGGGGCATCCTGGTGATGCCTCTGGAGGAGAAGGTGGGTGTTCTGCCACAGAGACTCAGCACAGTGCAAACTGCTTCTCTGTTTAGCGATTATAGGCACCACATGATTCATTTAACACTTATAAACAGATAGAAATGTCTAATATTCGTCAACAACAAAAACTACTGGGTAAGGCTGCTCTATAAAAACATACATAATGAACGAATAAAATCATGTCACACACTGCGTTTCAATGTAAAAAAGCAGGTATATTGTTTTACTTACGGATATTTGTGTCCATATTGACTCATGATTGTACACTCATTTGTGTTTTTATTAAGAGTCAATAAATGTTGTCTTGGATCAGTGTTTGTGGTTTTGTATGATATTTGACCTTGTAACTGTGGAGTTTTCATGGAGATGATCTCCAAAGCTTTTCCAATATTTTCTTTTGACACTTTTATTATGGGATGAATTGACGTAGTATATGCCAATAACACAAATTGACCACTCTTTGGACAATTTGGACTAAATATAGAGAGTAGCTTTTTGAAGTTCTGACTGTGAGCAGCAGAGAAAACAATAGCACACAGCACCGTCCTCTGAACACACACTGACTGTCTTCCTGTTGTGTTTCCTGCAGCTGACCAAGATAACCCGCATAGGGCCGAACAGCTGGGAGACCAAAAAGATCATCTCTGTGTCCTTCGCCCCTCTGGCACTGCCCAAACACAGCACCAATGGAAAACCCAAGACTGTCCCACTGCGTGAGTCTCCTCTTCACCGTTATTTAAATATGGAAATACTAGTATGACTATTGATTAGGGATGTAACGATACCAAAAACTCACGGTACGATAATATCGCGATAACAAGTCCACGGTACGGTATTTATCGCGATATTGAATAATAAAGGGAAGACATTTTATTTTCATAAATATTTTTTTTTCAATAAAATATTTTTTTACTCGGAAAATGTTTTTTATTACATTATAAATCGGATTTTTACAGCATTTTTGTAAGATAGCAGTATTTTGAAGTGTCAAAAACAAAGTGACAGTAACAGACTGGAACAAAAAACCAGTGTTTTCGTACCTACTAGTACTACCAAACAAAGTAAGCATTTTCTTTATGCCACTGCATCTCACAAGTAAACAAGGACATTTAATAATCAGACCCTGCAATAAAATAAATCAAGTTTCACTTTAGCTTTTCAAGTAACTCAACTCAAACTCACTAGTCACTCACTCAGCACCATCAGACAGGTTTTTAGGAATATGAGAATGTCCACATTTCCAGGTATTTATAAGCTGGGATGTTTGGGCATTGACAATATCCCCTGCTCTGGAAAAAACTCTCTCGCTTGGTACTGATGTTGCTGGGACACCAGTGGTCGCGTTAACCGAATATTGTATTTAACAATGACGGAAAAATCTGAAAGCAGTCTGTCATTTTGACAGATTAGAACAAACTCGGAACAGCGCCAACGTTTCCCCGCAGCCAGGCTCTGGTGTTATGCCGTGTTATGCATGCCCTCCAAAAGGAAATGATATAGTTTCCAAACCGTACTTTGCCGTACAGATCAATACATGTCTGGGAGGTTTTGCTTTACGCTGTGCGCGTCCCGCGAGGTGCATGCACACACGGCATAACACCCCCC